CATGGACGAATTTCGATCAAAATCCGGCTCAGTTTTAGAGGAGTGGGGCAGTAAAGGGTAGAATAGTGCCGATAAAGATAAAGATAAAGATGCCATGCGGGCCACAGCAGAGTTGTGTTCGAAGCAACTGGAAGCCATACTCACAGCGACAGGGAGACTTATCGAATAAATGTCATTCCTTTCAACATCTTAAGGATGGACTAAGAATAGTGTGTGACCACTTGAAGATACGTCCACTTTGAGAGAAGTTACAAGTTAAGAAACGTGTTGCAGTATTTATGGAACACCTGTACTATTGAAATTTGAACAAATATTCAAATGATTATAACTTTCTTCAAATATGACGAATTTTCAATCTGAAAGCAGATTTGGAAGTTTTGTGAAGAGCTCTTTCTAATCAGTATTGAAAGTTATAAGAAATAACAAATTTAGATCAATTAACGAGGAAAATTCGAGATGAGCACGAGTTTTTACACTTTCCGAAGCAATAACTTGCTTCATTTTCGTCAAATCTGAAAAGTTAATATGGCATACAAAACTAGAAGATTTTCTCTATCAAACGGTTGCTAAAGCAGCTTTATACGTCCAGTATTAAAAAATGGCCACGTTGAGGATTTTTGCCCGAGTACCGCCGAAAGGTACTTTTTCGCTGCATTGGCACTATTTCAACGACTATAGCTCCTTTCAGGGGCGATTATGTACTAAAGTAGGAGCAGATTCGGAATCCTCGTGCTTTTCTCTTTCCAAAAGTGTAAAATTGTTTAGCGTATCTCAACTTTAAAGGTTACATGCTTATGAATTTGACGCTGAAGGCTGCGTTTCTTGTTGAATGGTGTACTCCTCCCTGTAATTTCACATGAACCCTTTCAGAATCCTCTTGATTTTTCCTGAATTGAGATTCTTTCTCCAGAGAGCCGTAGTTGAAGCGCGCGCAACCAACTCACTCTGGGATGCGCCGTGTGCTTCACATCCCTTCAGATTCGAGGACTCACTTGAAAGATAAAATATCCCTTGGAAAACGTGCGAATTTCGGATTCTTTAACTTGTGTGGTGATAAAACACTGAAGTAACTAAGAATTGCTAAGCGGACACCTCTGAATCACGAAGATTTTGTGTGGGCGGAATAACATTGTTATTGGAAATCCTCTGGCCTGGCATCGACTCGATCCTTGATGTTTGTCCTCCGACGATGATCCTACTGTATCAATCGGGCCCGATCTCTTCCCCAGCGGGCCAATACGACCCCCCCCTCTGACATGTCGAGGATTCCTCAACGCACGCTTGACCCTTGGTTCGGAGAATGTGTTGAGTGGCGACAGGCTCGCGCATGCCGCAATAGAACACTCGAACCAACTGCCTCAGCTAGTAGTTATTGAACAAATACTGGCAGCAACTTGAAGCGAGGGATGAGCAATGTCTGTGTATTGAGGTCTCCAACTGCCAAGTTAATCCTATTCCTCTTTTCAGACCTAGTAGGCGGTGGATACCCTTACTGTTATATAGAGCTCCTTGCCACTTTTGTCACACTCGAACATCCTGAACCTGGTAGGCCTTTCGTCAGCGCTGACCGTACCCATCACACCTCCACAAGACATTTCGCATTAAAATCACTCCATGGAGTGTAGCACCAAAGGATCTCAGGGAATAACGAGGACATGAATCAGCTTAAAGTATTTTATACTTTTTCGACCATTAGAGCATAGTAATAAATCACAATATTGATGATACATCTTTTCTTAACTAATAAATATTTACACATATTGAAACACAGCTATAGATGCACTAGTACAGCAAGACACTATGTGGTCAGACTTGAGAACAATCTACAAGGCTACTTCGGTGGAAGAACTACTCTCTTCTTACAGATTGAATAGTGCTTCGTTCCGCAATAATAGAAAAAGGCGTATCGAAGACGGCCTCTAGGAGAGTTGTAACAGGCAAGACACTGCGTGCTTGCACTCCAGCCATTCATCTCCGGTGTACCGGGGTTAACGAGCCAATCTCTGAAAGCAAAATCGCAGTTGTTAAGCAGCATCAGGATGAAGAAGCCTACCAAGGAATGAACCCACTCACATTTCGGCCACATTGACCCCGCCGTTTTCCGTCCACCGTGGCATATACGCACCTTCACGTCTCAAACCAACCCAGCTCCAGCGCTCAGCCGGAGCGTTCTTCACAACTTCCTTCTTAAAAGCTCACATTAGTGCTGCGAACATTCAACTCGTCCATCTACTTACCCATTCTACGGCCGAATTCGGTACAAAAATCTTTCCACCTTTTACCACGCAATTTGTCACGGCCATGTCAAAGCTCAATTTCATCGTCTCGAACAAATAACACGAATTGAACAAACGCAGCCAGCCATCTGGGCAGGGAGGTTCCTGAAACTGAGCTATCGTAGATGAGGAGAGCTCGCAGAAATTTCCCTACACAAACCTGTGTAGAGTTCGATGATAGTGCAGACGCGAAGTGCGCCAAACAAAGTGCGAGAATAGTTCTGCAAAAGATGGAATGGTAGAGGCACAGTACATCACGAGAAGAAGGGAAAAAACTCACTTAGCCAGCATGACTGTGGAGGTAGAATGTGTGCCAGGCATCTTTTATAGGCCCTACATTGACCATATTAGGACTTCTTGGCGCCAAATGCACTTGACGGACTGCCATCGGCAGTTCATCCTGGTCAAAAGTACTTGCTAGTGAGGACCGGTGATCTTTGTTTACAAACATTTTTCTGAATTCACAACTTCATATCGTCAGTAGGAGGTGGTCCTAGCCGTAGTGGTCATAAAGGCCATTCTCTGGGAATGTGTCATTAAGTCCATGCTTGTCTAGGTTGCTGAAGTCTCTGGGTGCTATGTAAACCAATACTTAGCGGCGCAAGGATCAAAAAACAGAGGCGAGATCTTTGACCATGCGTTGCTGCAGTCTCACTCGGAATCGATGGGTCCGTGGAGGTCATTTGCGATTTAAAACAATTTTGAGGCCTGAACCTTATTAATAAGGCCCGGGTTTTGTGCATTAAGGGCTAATTTCCCAACATCCAGATTTTGTTCTCAGAGGTTTTCGTCATTGCAATAGTCACCAGGAAGTCTCTCATGTTCATGGTTTATCTTTGTTCGAATTACTTCGTATAGATTAGACCGCGAATGTCATCCCTCATTAGCGTTATTCGGTGAATTGATAGCTATTGCTCGACATTGTACGGAAGTTTGTTCATGACCAGAGTTCCAATTGCTGCCGGAGAGGGCGTGCTCGTATCGCGAAAAGGCTGTGGTCTGTGGTCGAGAATTGCTGACAAATGGAACGATTGCGAAACTGACTTTATCGCAACCCTATAAAATCAGCACCGATTGTCCTATGCTCAATCACTCGCGTTTTCTTCGAAGCGTTTCAGTCTCACACCTTCATCGTAAATATAGAGTAATTGTTAGAGTAACAGAGAATCAACTTGGAACAAGTTTTTACAGTTAAGTAGGAGATACAAACAGACTTTGGCGCCAGTCAGTACTTTTCTGTTATGGGCCCGCATTTTCGCTTCCTCGGTTTGTAGTGGCATGGGGATATATTCCAGATAATAGCCGGGGAATACAGTATGAATATAAAGCCTGCGTTGTCTCCGTTGATCAGGTCAAACGCTTGAGGAATCTTAGGTCCAAGAAGTTGGCTGGTTTGGGTTAAGAATTTTAATTAGAGCTCGTTTACTGGTTCTGTGTATTCTAGGTTACACCACGGGCCGTATCCTATTCCTCCAAGTCAGAGGAGGAAATCCCTTTGTATTTTCTTTGTCTTCCAACAAGAATTGCCCTTAAAAGCTGCATATTTGTAATGCGTGCATGTGTTAAATGTCTTTCGCGATAACATATGAGCCCGTGAAGCCATTTTATATTTGCGCCTCGAATATCTATATTCGAGGAAAATTACAAGCCATCGAACGGATTTGTAGTAGATGAGAAATTTAAACTTATAGGTGTAACGTATTTTTCCGTCCCCTTGTTAGGTTGGTTAGGTTGTGATGCACCACTGTTAAAATATTAGGTTGTCCCAAATTAGTGAATCACTTTACATTTATTGTTATTAAAAATCCAAGAAAAATGGTGAAGGCATGAAACATGTTTTGCGAAGTAGCATCCACATTATCCTACCTGAGCGATTACTCGGCCCATGTACATGCTGCCTTCCGTGGCTGATACTTCAATTTTTCTGGAACCTATTTTTGAGCTCCCCTCTTAATCACTTCTGATTAGGATCTTTCATACGCCCAACAACATAGAGAATCAACCAGCGGATAGGCGAGGGCACGCTCCCTCAATCCGCGGTCTGCTTGTAATTCACTCTATCGAGAGGTTGGCTTTTTGAGTTGAAGATGACCCACACTCCAACTACCCCTCAAGTGGCAATCTCACTGCTGTACCCAGCGCCACTGAGGGTGGATCTGGACAAACTTGTCGCCATTTGCTGGAGCATGTCCGGCTTATTAAACTGATGGAATGTAGACATCTACGTAGAGTTGTAAAGATTTTAAAATATTTAGTTTGTATCTTGTATGCTGTGAGCCCGAAACAGCTCCACACACGATCTGACATCATCATGTTCCTTCTGATCTCTCTTAGTTCCTTACAGTGATCATCCGGCATATGCATCAGGGTTCTGGACTGGGTGGAGTGTACTAGCAAATCTCCAACAAGCAGCAGCTTAGCATGAAGGGTTCGGGAGTTCTGACAGCAAAAGCCGAACCCCTTTGAGTCCGACCCTTCCGAGATATTGTATGAGCACGAGAGTGACCTTACGCTGGGAACCGCCGCCCAGTAATACCAGGGTCACTGAGGAAGATCAGCATCCACAGCGCAATGGCGACGCGTTCAATTTGGAAGTAAAGCAAGACAAAGTCTGCTTTTTTCCTGAGGTCGTTCGACCCCACCTTGCAGAGAATATTCATAAAAAATTGGAGACTTCCAGGCTAGCACTTCTTTCACCTCCTATATGTGGCCCTATCCTCGTGTCAACAAAAGACAACTCAGTCTGACCTCTAGCGCTCTTCTCCAGGAAGAAACTTTACGCTAAGTGACATGACCTCAAACTCGACTTCCGATCTTTCTTCGATCAATAGCTCCTGGAATTCTAGAGATAAGACAGCAACTAAATTTCCTTGTTTAGGCAATACATTGTAGATGACAGAGATGTATGTTTGGATGAGCAAAGACTCCACATAAAAAAGAAAAAAATTTGAATTCAAAAATACCCAAAGTGATTCACTAATTATGGGACAACCTAATAAAAAGGATAGAGCTGTGCAGGTATTGATCAATCCTTTTTTGATGCGACACGCATTCTACTTCCATTTGTACATTCGCAGTGGCATTTGAATGCGATGTGGCCTATACAATGACTTGCGGGGGCCAGCCGATGTACAAGTCAGTGTTTTTATCCTCCCAGACAAGTCTGGTACCAATTAACCGACCCCGGAGGGATGGAAGGCTTGGTTGGCCCGGGCGACTCACGACCCAGGATTTGATCCCCGGACCGCTCGCGTGGTAAGCGTGCCACTTGCCACTACACCACTTCCGCCCACATGCACTCACTTTATACCTTTCAAATTATTTAGTTGCATTACTAGCCGTTAAAGTAAGGTTGCAACGAGGTATCTGCAAGCAGGTTTGAGAGCATCATGGAATCAGCGGTGTAATTAAAAAAAAGGTCCAGGTCTTTCGTAGTTATAGGGTACTTGGCCATCCTTGCCACCACTCCACAGTGCTCGACTGCTACGTAGCTTGACGGTGCTTCCTTCAAATGTCGCTCTCTGGTTCCATAGTAGCCATTTGAGCGGTGTTCCACCTCCACTCCCATTCTGGGTCCTGAACTAGATGTTTACCATCTTGCACAGTCTCATCGGCACCACCTTCATAAAACAGTAATCTTTTTCAGTAAGCAAGTAGGTTTCTTCGCTGTGAGCATTCATTCTAAGGCAGCATTTTTTCAGAATGCTTAAGAGATTCCCAATTGCTTGTGAAGCCCACGAATATTCATTTACAAGGCAGTTTCCATGACGATTTGCCGACGTCGGTTTCATAACGAGTCATAGCCTGCAGCTAGTTTCTGTTCAAAGACTAACTGCCACTTCGTAGCCAATTAGTAGTTGATCGCGATAATCGAGGAGTGAGCTGTCTTGTTTAGGCTGCCTGCTTCATGATTACCCTCAGTTGCTTATCGCTACCTATACCGTAGCGTTGGCGGTCGAGGAGGTGGTTATATCAGTGACGCTACGCTTCAGCCATGCTGCTACTACCATGAAGGTCATGACCGCTAGGTTGTCTCCAAATTACCTGCAAAACAAACCTTCCTCTGCGTTTCAAAAATTACCTATTACCTATTTCCGTGGTATCACTGCACGACTTTAAGGATACCATCTGTTTTACTTCCATATCTACCCTCGTGGATAGGAACAATGGGGAACAGATCACTTCCGCTCTTCAAACAGGTTTTCTTGAACCGAAAACCCCTTAACGGACTTCCGGGTTGGCAATGCTCTCTGTGTCTATTTGCATTTCATGGGATAGAATGTGAGACCTCGGCGGCCGCGGCCACGGATACTCAAAGGACTCACTTAATTTTTCGTGAACTCATAGAAGCTGAAGCCCATAGTTGGGTTTAGCACTTGGATTCCTTGTTTCATGTTTCCGTCTATTGTCGTGGCGAAATTTTCTGATTATTGAGACGAAGTAAACCTAAGACGAAGTAACACTTTTCAGAATGAGTCAATAAATGCTGACTAGCGTTGATGAGGAGGTGCCGAATTAGTTTAGGAGGTACGGTAGGTTTCTCAAGGCGTCCTAGTATTAGGTCTTCTAGATCCTGAAGTGGAAGTCCAAAAACTAGCCTCCTGCCCTCCCGCCTCAAATCTCAAAGAGTCCCATTTCAGGTGTTCGCCCTGGCCGGACAAAATTTCACAGATGTTCGTCTAAGCCATGAGGAGTGGCCAAAGCACAAGGCTGGTAAGTCCTACATTTTGTAAGTTGTACAAGAAAAAAAGCAAATGCGTTAATTTATCAAATTGTTCAGAGATGCCGTTCGGGCAGTTGCCAGTTCTCGAAGTTGACGGCAAGAAGTTGCCTCAGTCGTACGCCATCGTTCGCTATTTGGCGAGACAATTCGGTACAGATGAATAAAGACGCTGATTTGACTACAATACAAATACTTTTTACTTTAAAGGTTTTGCGGGCAAATCTGCCTGGGAGGAGGCTCAGGTAGACGCAATCGCCGACCAACACAAGGACTTCCTCAACGAAGTCCGTCCATACTTCATGGTCCTCATGGGAATGAGTAAAGGCGACGCGGTAAGTTATTCATCTTTGCATCGCTGAATGGGAAGAATTCTTCCTTCTAGGACGCTATGGTGAAAGACGTGTTCGAGCCAGCACGTCAGAAGTACTTCACCATTATTACAAAGATTCTCAAGGAAAACAAAACTGGTAAGTTTCCTTCTCTATATAAATGGGAATCATTGGGGGAATTAGGGTGTCCCCCAAGAAGCCCGTCGCGCGACGAAGGAAGAGAAGCAGACACGGCCAAGGACGGTGCGACTCTTCCTTTGTCGCGTCCGCGTCTCTTCCTTCGCCGCGCGACGGCCTCTTGGGGAACACCTTGGAATTAAAGTAATACAGGCACTGGTCTCCTTAGCGAACAATAGACCAGACATAAAAGATGAGGCGTGAAGATGAAGGCAAAGTGAGACCTTCCTCAGCTGTTCTTTGCATGGATGCCTGTAAGGAGTTTGGGATTTCCGAAGTGGAAGCGGGTGTGGAATACAGGGGTGGCCAAAAAAAGACACTTTGCCCATGGCGCACATCATCAAACTTTTCGTCGCACAGGGTGCCGCTGTTGATGAAAGTTTTACGGCAAAATATCCCTTAGATGTCCTCCATAAGCAGAAGCAGGCCCTCCTCCACTGCCCTCCGTCCTCAAAATATGACGTCATCTTCCATCACCGTTGAGCTCAAGAAGGCCTAAAGTAATCGTTCCAGCCTGAAGCTGCTACGAAATTTCTTTGATCGGTTAACTGACGGATTGCTTCATAGGGACGGTATCTCTACAAATGCAAGACCCCTTTCTGACCAGCGTTCAGATAACGTCGTAAAGGTCCATGAGCCTGCGAGGACCGCTTGTGCACAAGGTTCCCATGGCAAGATTCTTGTAATGTCCTTGATGCAGAAAGCTGTTATAACGTTTACTGATAGACTGTGATTTGTTCGTGGATAGGAGATGGATTCTTTGGGAGCAGTCGGTTTGAGTTTAGTAAAGTGTGATTAATGCTGACAGAAATGTGGAGTGAAGTGTCTTTTTTGGCCACCCCCGCATACCTGGACAATAGAGTATCACCGTATCATTCATTTGTCCCCTTGGAAGGAAGTGAGCAATGTGAGCCGCACCGAGAAAGAGGCGATCTGTGGAGTGTCGTATTTTCCAACAGTAGTGTCAGACAAGGTGTGCGCATTTTGTAGACGCAGCGATAAGAGGTCGTATTTCCGAAGCTTTTCTGTTTTAATTGCGCTTATACCTTCCCCTTTCCCCGTCCCGTACTCATAGTGTAACAGATTGAGAGAAAAAAGTCAGGAAATACAAAGGGGAGCATGAAAGAGGACGAGAGTAACACCTGAACATCAGAAAAAGTTGTGGGTCCTCAAGTGAATTTAGTATCAGATATTGTAAGGTCCCGTTTTGCAAAATTTGACCAAAAATTTGGTTCGCTCTGATGCTAACTCCTCCTCCAAGAAGACCAATTTTGTTTTCTGGTTAGTAATAAGAAATCGAATGGACAAGATCACGACAGCGGCCCCACATCAAGAACAGAATTCTACCGTAGTTTCTAAGTTTTTAATTGAAGTCTCTTCTAAGTTTTGGAACAGAAATTAAAGCGTGGATGTAAGAATGAAAGTGTGGTTCCTTGGTAGCTTTATTCATCTCCCCTGCCTGATACTGCTCTGTATCTACATTCTCAAGTTAGCAGGATATTCCAGTCCCAGTTTATGGTGCGTCTTTCAGTACATTTGGTTGGCGCTATGAAAGGTGTGCACATCTCCCGAAAGTACGCAGCTGTGCATGGCTCGAGAGAAAATCCCGGTCAAAACATATCTTTTTTGTTCATCAAAGATTTATCACCAGCGTATTCACACGAATTCACATTGGCCTTAAGATATAATGAATGGTGCTTAAGGATATCTTGTCGGAAATTCGCTGACGTTTGCTGATCTCTACGTGGCCGAGATGACCACTTTCTTGGAGAAGCACCCACAGCTCTACGACGGCTTCCCAGAGGTATGCCTTATTTATTAAACACTCGACATTCCGAGGATCCTCTAGAAATTCTTCTTTTCATAATTTTCTGGGCAAGCGTGGAGGGAGAAGATACTGTTTGATCACCGATCCTCGAACATGTCGTGATTGCAAAATCGATGAAATATCTTTTGGGGGATTTAAAGGAATCCTTCGCGGAAAATTCTTGCATTCTTTCTCAACATGAATGTATCAGTTGTGATCACTAGATGCAATACACAAAGTTTTAC